GGGGGGGGGGGGGGGGGAAGAGACGATGTATTGTTGTGAAGACCATAGTGGTTGGTTTGGAATGCGTACGTTATTTGTTGAAGGTGCAGCTGTATGGATTTGTTTTTTGTAAGGAGTGTGCAGCAGCCCAGCGGCAGGCTGGTACGTGTTGAAGATTCGATACATGTGTGCATACCCATTTAGTATGATAACCTACTGGAAACTAGGTGATGGCTGCATCACCACCCTTGGGTGCATTAATTCACAAATAATTTCCTACATTCGAACTTCAACGCAAGATGACCATCGGACTTTCGGTTGATCTGTTATTAACAGGGGTATCTTCGCTCCATGCTACACCTCTCTGCCCTCAGAGTGGGCGAATGTGTAAGGTGTTAGTCTGCAACTGCAGTACCACAAGCCGTGACGGGGGAGCTTTTGACCGGCCGGTGTAGAATGGGCGACGTAAGATATCACACCCCCTGGACCGTTTTTCAAAGCTCGAATACTCTGCAGAAAAAACTAGGCTTGTGCTCGGTAGGCGCTCGCCTAAAACGCCTTATTTCGAGAGCTTGCGCCTAAAAACAACAGTTATTTTAATCGCCTAAAAGCTCGCCTAAAAGCTCGCCTAAAAGCCGGCCGCTGCGCCTAATCTCGGGGCGCCTTCGCCTATTCTCGGGGCGCCTGCGCCTAGCCTGGGGTGTTTGCGCCTACTTTCCCGCCGCTGGCGCCTATTCTTGGCCTCTTTTTGGGCACCCCCTACAAAGTATCCACGGAGCCCCACACAGTGCCGCCGCCCAGCGGCCACGCCCACGCACACACAGCACACAGCACACAGCACACAGCACGCGCGCCGTGTGCATGACCCGGAATAAGTGGATGTGCCGGGTGGCGGGGCTAGTCAGAATTAGTCCAAATTCGTAGGTTGTGCTTGTGGGGGCATCGGCTGAAGTATTCCACCGTGACACGTTGCATCGCCACTCTCGGCTCTCGAGCATATCTCGTGATCACGTTCGCACCTTCGCTTTCCGTGTTTTGTTGAGGTGGCGTGAATGGCGATGGTGCAGCATGTGAGCATGTGGCATTAATTTGATTGTTTACTACCGGGCTAGACAACCTCGAGGAGAACGCATGCCGGCGAAGACCCGACATTGTATCCACCCACCACAAGGCCACTACGCAGTAATAGTCTACATGTTGTGGTTCTCTCACGTGTGCGTGTGTGATAACTTGGCCAAAGAAAAGTACCACCTTTCCGGCGTAGTGCACGGATTGTATCGCGGCATCACTAGCTCGCGTTGTGACGCAGCAGCACTATTACTGCTGCTGCGCTTTTACCCTTGGATATGTGCAATGAGTGCCACAACGCCACAAACCTCGCGTAAAAAATGCTTTTCTGCGGTTCGATTATCGTCTCCGAGGTGCGCCTATTTTTTTTTCAATTCGCCCAATGTCGCCTACAAAAAACTTCTTTTGCGTGCAACCTTCGCCTATGTTTTTTTAACGCCAAAAAAGAGCAAAAACAACGCCTACCGAGCACAACAAGCATAGAAAAAACAGCAGTGGTGGTGCCCAAAATTGTGGCATAGGATCCGCCTCGTCGACAGCTTTCCGCCAACGTTTGGCATCCTCTTTTGTCATAGAAATCGGGCTTTGAAACCCCATGCACGGAATGCCGAGTCCCGGCATTGCTGCGGACCGCACCACCAACGGGGGAACCCGAATTGTACGTACGTGAGGTTCCGGGCGAAAATAAATAGAGGCACTGCCGAGCCATTTTGAGTCGCTACTGCGCCAACGCATCAGAAAATACAGAGAGCATGCACTCCTACAACGCCAACACGTCCGCGTTTCTCCTGCTTTTGAGTGGGAGACCATGTGAGTGAGCTATTGGAAAATCGCTGTTGCACCACACACTACGAGCTGCATACTTACAAAAAAATCTGTTCTTTATATAGAGCTGGTTTGGCTGGTTTCATGAAAATACACACCACAATATGATTGGCAAACTTGTGTGTTTCGCTACGCGCCGCACGACGGTACGCGACACTGACACAAAGATTTTCCGGTGCCCTAGCAGTCCCCCGTTTGTACGCCGTTGCGATCTCGCGAAATCCTGGTGGTGAGGGGCAATCGCCACGCGCACTGCTGCTGTCTTCCCCGCGTTTCGAGTGGTCTGGCAACGGCTGCCGTGGGAACAACAATTGTTCCGCTTGGCGTGATCGCACACATACGTTGCGCGCACCTAGTCCACCCCTCCCTCAAAACAAATCTATTCCGCAGACAGCAACCACCGCGAGGCAAGAGCACTACCAGTTTGCACGTTCCGGAAGCCCACACCTACAGGTTTGTCGGAGGGGGCAGCTGGAGGCAGAGAGAACCGTCGATAGAGGGTGATGAAATCTGTATCCAACCCACACCTACCTGACGTTTACTGGCGGGTGCGACCATCCGCGCTGGAGCTTCGGCTTCGGGCGTCTTAAGTTGTGCCCCCTCCGCAGACTGGTGGTCCATAGGTGCCTTGTCGGGAGCCATAGTCGTACTCTGTGCGATGCGAGCTCAGGTATAAGGCTGCACGCAGCACGGGTCTTCAACTGCATATGCATACCGCCCGCCTTCGGGAGGGGATTCAGGTTGTTTTTCGCGTGAAAATGCGAGGAGGCATTTTGCGCGTATCTTGTTTTCGCCGCGTTCTCACCAGCTGCAACGCCGTAGCTATGTGGCGCCCATGAGAGCGAGACCAGCGGGGGGCGAGGAAGAGATGGATCTACAAGGTCCGACTGAACTTCTAGCTCCATGGACGTGTGTTTCCTCGATAGCGCAAAGACGACGGCGACCACCACGAACGGCTGCTGTACCCGCAGCCATGCGAGACATCTGCTGGTGGTGCAGCAATCTTCTTCCGTTCATGCTCCTGCTGCTTCTGCCGTGGATCGAGGAAGCGGCAGCAGCGGACGAACGCCCGCCGCCGCATGGCAGCAGCAGGAGGTTCAATGACCCCAAGGCTACGTTGTACGAGGTACTGGGCGTGTCAAAGCACTCTTCGCGGAAGGAGATCAAGCGGGTTTATCTCGAAGTGGCCCGCGTGATGCACCCAGATAAGAAGGGGCCCTTCCGCAATGACGAGGCTGCGAGCGAAGCAAACGACATCTTCGTGAAGGTGTGTCGTAGGCGGTTGCCACCGTCCGTCACAGGGGTAGTTTTGATGTGTACGGGGGGGGAAAATTCAGCAAGCGCGAGAAGAATGAGTGGAAATGCAACACAATGGGCGCTGACTTCAAGGTCTAGTCTAGTCTAAGGCCCAGTCTAAAGTAGTCTTCAATACTCTTCGTACACAAGTAGTGTGTTTGTAGTCTACAACAGATACCATTCGCACCAGGAAGGTGTTGTAAGCCACCGTTCAGGCACGCCGAAAAGGAACGTCCATGTATGTAGGCCCACAAATCACGCCCTCCTCTACGTGGCTCGCTCGTCATTCTGCTGTGCTGGTTTGTACTGCTAACAACATATTCGCCTGATTGAGAGCGTAGCATCTGATTGAGAGCGAGATTGCGCGATACGCTGTAGCCGGACTACCACTGAGAGGTGGAGCTTGCTGTGTAGCTTGAATTGAAGGGCTAGCCCGTAGCTTCAAGCCGCTACCCTGGTCATCCTGTGGGAGTCTCTCGTTGTGGAGCTACAGCGGGGAGCAGAAGCTACAGCAGAGCCCACCGCCCGACGCGATACCGCCCTGAAACAGTTTGAGCAGAAATAGCCAATCTGGGCAAATCTAGCAACTTGTCTAGCTCCTCGCTGCAGCATCCGATGACGATGACACGCATATGCTCGCGAAGCTGCTGATGAGACCTTCAATTTGCACCGCTTCTTGGAATAGCCCGTCCCCTACTTGCCAAGAAATGGCAAGAGGCGTCTGGACCCGAAATTTCAATTTTTTTGGCTCTCGCTCTCAATCAGATACTTCGCTCTCAATCAGGCGAATATGTTGTTTGCTGTAGACTATCAACAAGAAGAGATGACGGCCCCCAAGCCGATTGTCAGGTGTCGGGTATCTAGCAGAATGACCCAGAGCTACGAAATGATAAGGACCTCCTCGCGACAAGCCGGCACCTTCGGTAATAATATCGCATTGGGGCTTCCCCACGACGTGCTAACCAATTCCTTAATGCACCTCCGTTTTCATCTGCAGATCAAAGAGGCATACGAGACGCTCTACGATCCTATCCTGCGGCAACAATACGACTTGACGGGCATGAAAGAGGTACACCCGAAGCATGAGATGCCGCCGTTTGTAGCTCAGTGTTGTGCATGACTACGTACTGCTTCTACGTGCCACTGCTTAGATTACCCAGTAGCGGCACCAGGTTCTTCTGCGCTGAAAGAAGGCTCCTAGACTATACTGCTGGGGTGTACACAAGCCATGCTGATGCAGCAGATTGCTGTCACAAGCTCCTGAGTTGCTTGTCGCGGACAACTGGAAACAATGGAGCTGTTCCCACGAAGAACTAGTTACTAGAGACCTGATCGCACTCAGTACTTCGGGCACCTCTTCTCCTTCGTTCGGAGTCAACCGGACCCCTCTTTTCTGAACTGCGTTTGCTGCCTTGTACCGTCAGGGGGCGAACAATACGCCGGGCGAAGAGGAACCGGAGGAGCGGTACGAAGACGCCCCCTTCGGCATCTTCGTTAGGTTCGGCGGGGGGCGGGGGGGGCTCTGGTTCCGCTACAAAGGCCACGTAAGCGCTGCAGTATGTGCTTGGTGTTAGCCAGCGTGGACACGGCACTGCTTTCCCCTGTCTGAGACTTGGTTTATCCCCTCTAGGCCAGAACGAGACATCGCAATAAATACCAATCGTACGTTCTGATAGGCATGTTTAGCTGAAGCTCGGAGTCGTCAAGGCTGCCGCCCTCAAGCACCGGTGAAACAGTTACCCCTTGAAAATTCCTCGAGGCACATCAGAGAGGGTTCCTGTGGCACTCACATTTGGTGGGACACGTTGCTCAAGCGCTCTCTAGGAAAACCAGTTTCACGAAGTCTGCTCCGATCTTTCGAGCCTGAAATCTCCGTTGGTTCAGTCACAGCTAACCACAGGCATAAAATGGTGTGTCTGAAACGCTTGTCATACGAAGAGGTGCATCGAGGGCAGACAGTGGCCCGGCTCACGTTTTCGGGGAGGGGCGCAAACGCGCCAAGCTTTCAAATCTATCGAAAAATTCCACGCTGAACGTGTACAATCTACCGCTAAAGCCAAATCGACGTCACCCGTTGCAGCTTCCACTACCCCTTCCCTCAATGATCGGCCAAAAACGCCCCGCCCTCCTTGACGCTGTTCGTATCCTTCCGTCCGCGTGGTCTCGGTTGCAATAGGGGAAGAGGAGGGCGCCAGACTTGATGGTGGCGCTGCCATTCACCTTCGAGGAAGCGTTCGAAGGGAAGACGGCGAACGTGACCGTCGCTCGCGAGAGGTTGTGCCGCACCTGCGGGGGAACCGGCGCCTCCGAGCCCGGGGAAATGCCGACGGTACGATAAACCTCGTGGTTGTAGAGAGAGAAGAGCCGTCGCTTCCACAGTATCGCCGTTCATGGTACCACCCACGGAACCCCGATTCCCCACCGACCACTGCCGTGACTGTCAACACTCATCTCACAACATCAGAACGAAACTCCATCAGACGCGCGAAGACAGCAGTAGATTGTGATACCTGAACTCGCTTCGCCCGCTCATCGCCTCCTACAAGTAGGCTGGCAAGGTTCCGCGGTCTCTGTCGTGCTTCTGTGCCCTGCCCCCGTACTGCAGCCATCCCCGAAGGCAGTGCTGTGCCACCATGCGAACTAGACACAGCTGGTCTTCTCATTCATGACACTGTCGATGGTAGTTGCGAGCTATCTCGCCCCCGATCCACGCCCCCCCTCCTGGTAGAAAGGCAATGAACTTGCATCATTCTCAGTACTTCCCTCACTCTTCCTTTCATCGGGCCGACAGGAGGAGTTTTGTTGGAGACAAATACCAATACACCTGTCCGCTTGATGCACCCCACGAATCCGCCTTGGGGGCCTCCTTTCCTCTCCCGCGCAAATTGATGTATCTTGCGTGGACGTCACTCATCTCTTTACAACATTGCCGTGCATTCGTGCAAGTGCTCAAGACAGCCAAGCCCTTTCTTCTGTGTTCTTCCGAAAAACAGTGCAACCTGTGCGAGGGGAAGGGCTACGCCTACCACCTCTTCGGCGTCCACGAGTCCGACACTCAGAACGACCACCATTCCCGCGGTGATCGGCACCATCACGATGACGACGCCTCCGGTAGAAACCCGCGGGGTCGCTGCTCGGAGCACCTTGACGGCCGAAGGGGCGGCGTTGGCCACGGAAGCGGTGGGGATGGGCTGCCGGGCTACGCGCACGCGGTCAACACCACGTGCAAGGTGAGGTCAGGCGATGGGACCGGACGCAGATCGTAGTCGGTGTACGAACCTGTAGAAAGCAAGGTCCACACGTTGCCTGCTTCGCACACAGCCCCGCCCACCGCATCGACATTCGTTGATGAGCGTGATTGCACGCACGGTCAAAGAGTTTTGCCCGAGAGTAAGCGGACATTCTGAACTCCGTGTTTCATGTGAGGTATCATACACCCGGCCTGGTGAAGAGGTGTGGATACCGCAGAACGGACACGGATTTTCTTGGCCCGGGATACTCGAATGTTTCAGGTTGGTTTTGAGCAGACTAATTAGCACGCCACCCGATGGGGTCCACCACCACTAAGCGCAAAGCCAACTAACGGGTGGAGGGGACGGGCGGCATTCTCCATGGCATACGGTACGCCGTTTCCGTCTCTCCATTCGCCTGTTTCGCTGCAGATTTGCGAAACGGCTCTCTCACGTTCGTTTGGGCCACGGTAAACGACTTCCAACCCTCGCAACGCCGCCAAGACTTGCTGAACGCTATCTTTCTGGTTGCGGTCGGGCCCTGCTGATGTCCTTACTGTCGTTGCTTCCATTGCTGCCGTTTCCTTATAGGTTTGCAGTGGGACGGGAAAGGTGTCGGATGGGGGGTGCCCTGACTGCCGCGGGCGGAAAGTCAAGGTGGAAACCGAAACGCTTGAGGTGAGACACAACGACAGCAACAACAACAACATGTCAATGAAAACCACAACCACCACGAGGACGACGACGACGACGATGACAACTATGGCATTCCTTCTTCCGGACGAAAATCAAGAAGTCATTTCAACTCTTCTCGACGAAAGGACCCCAAGCAGCGCTTACTGAAGTCCAAGAAAGGCCCACGAGTGTCAGAAAAGAGAACGAAGGGCACCAGTACGTCGGCCACGCTGACGCAGCAAAGTGCATTGCATCGAAGCCCTGACTGCAACTACCCACATGGAAGACGAAATACGCCCTGAGCTCCGGAAAAGGTTGCCAGCCGTGTTCAGATTTACCCAACAGGCCTTCCTGTTTGTCGAACACTTGCTGAAATAGCCTAGGACGCGCCCTGACCAGCAATACGACGCCGAGCCCAGTCTTTGTGGCGTCCCTGTCCTCGCACACCACACACAAACCCTTCTTCCCTTGGCTACAGGTGACCCTCCCCGCT